TGTGAAGGGGGCTGACCAGAGCAGCTCCTGGCTGCGGTGGGCTCCATGGGACTGGAGCAGTCCCTTACCCATGGCAGGTGGGAAGCTGCTCCAGGCCCTACCAGTTTACCATTCACAGCCCTACCACAGATATGGCTAAAAAAACCTACTTGAGGGTTCCTCTAACAGTTGTTTTCAAGATTATTTTTTTATTCTTATGTTGCACTGCTCACCAAAGTATGTAAGCAAAGGTTATCAGCTATTATTCCATCACAAGTGGTGGGTGACTTGTAAAAACATTTGCTTTCACATGATAGATGTAACTGTTTGTGATGCATTTATGCTGTTGATGTCCTTCTCTTTAGATGTCAGACTTCATATTTATCAGGGCTGATTCTTCCCGGTTGTCTGTAGCTCTAATTGCTCTACTTGCTCTAGGTCACTTTGCAGTTTGGTTCCGTTTCCCCACTCTGTGCTTTTCCTCAAATTTTAGTATCTTCAGTAAATTTAGCTACAGGTGACACACATGCACACAGACACATGCGCTAGGGATTATCTAAAAGTCTGTGCAGTAACCCAAACAGATGTAGGTAAATTCTGTTGGGGTAGAGGAGGGAGCATGCCTGAATTCTGACACATGCAGAATTGAAACACTGTGGGATAGCAAGACTACTTTGGTTTCACTGAGACAGAAAAGCCTTATAGGGCCTTCTGCAAGTAAAAGACTCAGTGGAACAGAAGTTCTCAACCAGGGGTCTAGGGCCCCCTGGAGGGCCATGAGCAGGATTCAGGGGTTCACCAAAATTAATCAGAGAGCATAGACAGTGTTAGATTTGTTGGGGCCCAGGCTGAAAGCCAAAGCCCAAGAAAATTAGCTTTGTAGGGCCCCTGGGCAATTGCCCTTATTATCCAAATGCTGATTCTGATTTTTAATCAATTAAATATACAGAAAAACAGTAGTGGCACAGGTGGGCCATAGAATTGTATAGGATATAGTGGGGAGGGGCTCAGAAAGAAAAAGGCTGAGAATCCCTGGTATAAGCCTTCGGGTTATTCATTTGTAGAACTGATTCAATAGTGGCTCAGGTTGATACTGACAAAAAGTTGTTTCCATGGGTTTTGGTTTTTTTAAATTTATGGGAAATGAGTTGTTGGCTTCAGTCCAGTTCCTACGCAGGTGTCCATGTTACAAAGGCAGTCTTGGGAATAAGGCAAAGACTGAATTGGCACAGAGCCTAAACTATCATCTGACACTGAAAAGTATTTGGAGGTTAAGACGATAGGGAAAGTTTGGTATTGCTACTGCCTGCTTTGAGGAAAGATTAGGCCTCTCTCAGGCATGCCAGCCAGCCTTTTATACCCATTACAATTAATTTTTAAAAAGGAAACTATATGGCTACATCTACATTACAAGTTTTTTTTGGCAGAAAATATGCTAATGAGGGACTCATTAGCACGGCTTGACAAATCCGTGTATCTACTCGTTTGTGGCGAGTAGATTTCTGCCGGTTGCCCCATTCACCGGCAGCGCACACATGCGCAGTGCGGGTCTGGCGCATGCATGGTGCGGGCTAGCGAGTGGATTTTGCCATGGTTTGTCGAGCCCTGCTCATTAGGATGAGTCGCGACATCAGTAGCATATTTTCTGCTGTTTCTTTTTGCACAAGGGGTTTTTGTGGAACCCCGGCCTCCGTTTTGCACAAGATCCTTATGCCTATCCTGGAGAGGCATACGGATCTTGCACAAAACGGGGTTTTTGTGCAAAAAAACCTAATGTCCACACTGCTTCTTTTTGCGCAAAAACCCCTTGAGCAAAAATAAACGATAGAAAATATGCTACTGATGTCGTGACTCATGCTAATGAGTCCCTCATTAACATATTTCCTGCCAAAAAAACTCGTAGGCTATGTCTAGACTGGTATGATTTTCCACAAAAGCTTTTAATGAAAAAGAGCATCTAGATTGGCACAGACGCTTTTGCGCAAAAGCACTTTTTGCAGAAAAGCGTCCGTGACAATCTAGATGCGGTTTTGTGCAAGAAAGCCCCGATTGCCATTTTCGCCATCGGGGCTTTTTTGCGCAAAACAGTTTTTAGCTGTCTACGCTGGCCCTCTTGCGCAAAAAAAATTCCAGAAAAGGGCTTTTGCCCGAAGGGGAACATCAAAGCATTTGCGTAAGAAGCACTGATTTTGGACAGTAGAACGTCAGTACTTTTGCACAAAATCAAGCAGCTAGTGTATACAGCTGGTAAGTTTAGACAGCTAAACAGCCAGTGTAGACAGCTAAAAAAACTTGCCAGTCTAGACGCAGACGTAGTGTAGACATAGCCCTTACGATTGAGAAGACATACAGAGAAGGGACTTCTATGAAAGATCATTATCTTTTTTTTCTTTAAATGTCTGTGCACAAATTTAGTGCAAATGAAAAGAGAACACACAAATGAAGGACAGATAAACTTGAACTAAGATAGGTATAAGTAAATGCATGTAATAGGTAAGATTCCCTATGCCAGTCTGTTCATATATTTCACTTTCAAAGTTCTCCTACAAATCCCCTTTCATTGCCCAGGCTGCCAGTCGGCACACCAAATTGTGTGATAATTTTCATTTATCCACAAGTAAAACTAAAGTGACTTATCCAACTCAGCTCCACCTGTGTCCAGAGAGAGTATTTAACAAAGAGATGAAAAAATTATATGGCCCAATCCAAATCCCATTGAAACCAGTGGAAAGACTCCTATTAGCTACAGAGGGAGTTGAACTGGGGTCCATAGTTCATATGTTCTGCTCAGAGATTAAAATAAGGGAGAGCAATAGAGTAGCACATCTCCCCTTTCTCTGCTAAAAGCAGTATGTGCTCCATTCCTCCTTCTCTGATGCTAGCTACTTTGGCAAAAGCCTCTTGTTTCAATGTACTTTAGCTATAGATTCTACTCAGTTCACCCATTTGCCCCACTTTTGTTGCAAATAACTGGGGAGAATGCATCACATGCAACAGCTTTTTCTCAGTGAATAAACCTGGCAAGCAGAATTTTAAAATGAAATAACAATCTTTGTTTTTAAAGAATGCTTTATTTACTACATTCTAGGAACGTACCATAAATGGAGCAAGAACTAAAACTCAAAAGTTTTAAACAATACAAAGAATAAAGATATAGCAAAACACCCAAAATACTAGCACTTCTGAAACAAGGCGCACACATATATATATATATTTCTTTGTATAGTTTGTTCTTAAACCTAAAAATGTTCACATTTCAAGTTATAACTTACCTCAGTAGTGTATGTGAAGTGGTTGAGAAACCAGCATAAGGATAGACCACAAGTGGGAGGCTCAGAGATACCTAACTATACTACCAACTTTTGGCCCCGATCTTGTCATTGGAGCTGCTAGCCCCTGAGCTAATGAAGAGCCACAGGCATCAAGGCTATTCATTTTTAAAGTATTCTGGTGTCTGCCATGTTAAGATATCATCTCCATCTTTATTTTTGTTGCACATACTATACAGAAATATGTAAAATACAGTAAGAACTTTAGTTGCTGTTTAACCTAAAGACCTGGGACTGGATCATGCCTTTTGCTTCTGCAAGCAGAGGAGACTTGAATCTGGGTAGATCCCTGTTGGAGAGCACAGAAATGGGGAAAAGAGAATGATGGTTCCATCATTGTCTCTTCCACCATCTCGCCACTGCTGGAGTTTGCTAAGGTTTTGGTGGAGGGGCTGTGATGGGAGTGAAGTAGGGTATCAACTTGTATTGCATTGCATCATCTGCTGACTCAATGGGTTTTTATGCAGCAATCCAGTCAGGAGTTGAAGCTGCATGAAGTAGCATTTACTCTTGTTTGTTCTTATCTGTGGCTACTGCTCATCGTGAGATGACTTAGCCAAAGGCAGCAGAGGTGGGAACCATTTCCCACTTCCTCTAGGCTGGGGCTTCTATTCTCCACCAATCCCCAAGAGAGCTGGGCTTGAAGGCTGCCCATTCCATGCAGTCATGGATAACACTCTAATGGAGTTGGACCTTTGTGCTAAGGTCTAGGTTCATTTTTGGAAAGGCTGGAACATGTGATAAAACTCTCCTGGGAAGGAGCACTAGGGTCAGAGTCTGATTTAATGGTTAACTTCCTCACAGCTCTTTTAATAGTTAAATAGCATTAAATGTAATAGCGTGTTACTAAGTAAAAAAGAGTGGCCCAATTTAAGATTAGAAAATACATAGCAGGTGGTCACTTAATTTAGGTAAATATGATCTGAAACTGTTGTCAGTGGATAAAACATACCATTATTGAATAGACCTACAGTTGGTTCTTAAAACAAAAAAGAAATAAAAATTGTGTATTCACTAACCTATTGCATAACTCATTAGAGTTATCTGGGCAAAGCTGATGCACTTCATAAAGTGAGTGAGCTATTTGCCATTTTACTGTATTTTACATTCACTGCATTACTAAATAAAAGCCTTTAAACAGGCCACAAAACACTGCAATAATATATTTACTTCTTAATAAAACACACTTTTTAATAACATTGAAATAAAATGTTTTTTTTTGTTTTGTGGCAAACCACATACCATGTAAATTAGCAACATAAAATGACTTTAAAATGTATATTAGAAGATATTTACAAACTATTTCTTAAATTCATAGGGGTCTTAGTCTCTGCCTTCCCTGATGTGCATGGAATTAGGTGTGAAGGGAGAATGAGAAGGAGGCTAGCCCCATTTTATTAAGCATAATATCACTAACACCCCTAGTACCTTAGAAATTTTGCATGAAACATGATGAAGCTATTGGGACTTTAAAATGTATATTAGAAGATATTTACAAACTATTTCTTAAATTCATAGGGGTCTTAGTCTCTGCCTTCCCTGATGTGCATGGAATTAGGTGTGAAGGGAGAATGAGAAGGAGGCTAGCCCCATTTTATTAAGCATAATATCACTAACACCCCTAGTACCTTAGAAATTTTGCATGAAACATGATGAAGCTATTGGTA